GACAAAAATAGTATGGCAACATACCTTATCCGGATGATGTATCAAGCTCTCCCGCCTATAAGCTTTCTTGATCTCAATCTCCGTGCATTCCCTCGCCAGCCCCAAGATTTTGTAGTAATCCTTCGTCTTGCTCCTCTGCAGCGCCGCCTCTGCCTTCTTCAGATCAACCTTGAGTGCACGAATGTCAGCCTCGGTAGCACTGCCCTCTGTAGTGGCTTGTTGTATGGCGGATTTGAAATCGGCGACAGAGGCGTCATACTTCTCGAGGTGAAGGTTGATCCGCGCTCTGGTACGAAGCGCTTTGAAGGAGTTGGGTGAGATGGATAGCGATGCATCGGTATCAACCAGGGCCTCTTCATGTCTCTCCAGCTACATATACCCTCGTGAGTAGAGGGAAAGAGAGACGCGCAAGACTATCTCCTCACCTTCAAAAGAGTTGTAGCTCGATTTGACAGCAAGGTAGCGCGGATCTGGCCACCTTTGCCTTCCTCCTCCACTGAGCCGATGCGCTATAAAGCAATGTAAGCTTGCGAAGACGAAAGACGCAGTAGTCACCTACATCCAGAGTCTCCGAGTACAAATCGTAAGCCTCCTGCAGCTTGCCCTGCTTGAAAGCCACGTTCCCCTCCTCCTTCAGCCGCTCCACGTCTTTGACACGAGTGCGTAACTTCCGGGCCTGCTCATGGCCAGGGTCAAGACGGAGTGCGGATAACACGTGGTTCAGCGCTTGTGATAGCCTGCCAGTGAGGAACAGCACCAGTCCTCGAAGAGCCAGGACATCGGGTGAATTAGGGTTCAACCGCAGAGCGTCGCTGCAATCAATGATCAGCTCAAAGCTTATAAGGTTTGATTGAAGAGCATGAACGTACTTTGCAGCCATGTTCGCAGCGTCCCAACTCCCTCTCGACAACTCGAGCTCGACCCTCCAAATCCGCCACTCCGTCGGGACGTCACCACCCTCACCCTCAATAGACTGCAAACACTTGTCTAGTGCAAGTCGGGCCATCGCCCAGTCCTTCCTCTTCCTCGCGCTGCCAAAGTTCCGCACGTGCCCCTCAAGAGCAATGACCTTGTCCTTAAGTTGGACCGCCTGAGAATTTTGGGGCTCCAGGGCAAGCACCGTGCCAATTGTCGACAGTGCGGGGGTGGAAGATCCGAGAGCCAGTTGGCATCGTGCGAGTCGGAGGAGGGTTTTGGGCGAGGGTGCAGATGATTGTAGTGACGCCGCCATCTGGCAATCTTCTAATGCTAACCGAAAACGCTTCAGAGCCATGTTAGAGGCTGCTCGATTTGTGAGATATGAAGGTTCTAGAGGGTTCAATTCTGCAGCGATCATCAGCTTGAGAGTTTTGAAATTGATGCAGGAAGTACCGATAGCCTGAGTATAGAGCTCGACTGCTACAGTATATTTTGCGGCTTTGAAGGCAACGTTCCCTTGTTCCTTGACCTTTTCTGCACGTTTTACAGGATCCTCCTCTTCAGGTTCAGGTTCTGGTTTTGGTGAGGCCGTCACAGGACTAGGTGAGGGTGGGGGTTGGGGTGTGCTTGGCCCAGATTCGGCAGGGGCGGAGCTGCTGTGCTCAGAGCTGAGGTTTTGTCGACATCGTATTCTTCAGCTAAAACATACCTGCTGCCGTTGGGAACCACTGGGGTCGGCGTGGTCGCTGGGCGCTTTTTCGCAGCTCCTCCTTTCTTCTTGGCCATTGCTGTGAAGGTTCAAACGACCTCAATGGTTCGGGTATCAGAGTGTTACTGGGCTTGGAGAACGTCGCTGACGACGGCGACGATGGTGAAGACGGCGATGACAATGGTGGAAGAGAACAATTTTCGGCATAAATTAATTAGAACATTCTGGAAATTTCCGAATAATAAATAAATGTCCCGATGTCCATATTTTATTATGTATACATGAATAGTTTCTGCAGTTTTTATATATACTTTTCGTAAGTAACACATAGTCATAGAAGTTACGATGATCTCAATCAGTTGGGATTGGGAGGGAAGTTAAAGAACAACACGGCAGGCCCAGCAACTACCCCAACGTCTGTGAAACTCTGAACTTTGGTGGTCGTAAGTACAAGATACGTCTGCCCCGTAAGGCCTTTCGGGACCGTCACAGTGCCGCTACCTTTCCCCGTGCGGGTGAAAGTACCAAATACTTCAACGGGAGCCACGCCAGTAAGGAAGGCAGCAAACAAAGGAGTACTCTGAGAAGTGGTAATGTTGAAGGAAACGTGAATCGTTTGGCCCGTGGTCACATTTGTCTCTTGAACGACGAGTTGAGGGTTCGCCTTGAACGCGATAGGAGGGTTGCTGGAGGGGCAAGATCCTGGCACAATGAAGTTGGACGCCAGGGTAAACGCCTCGTTAAAGGTGAGAGCTCGCTGAACACATGTAAATTAGACTCAAAACTCGTGAAAAATGAAGAGGACCCACGTCAAATGCTCCGGGCCAGGGAGTAAGGGTGAGTTCAGTGGCGAGCCAGCTTGCATGGCGGGCTTCTATTGTCGAAATACTATCAGCGACGATCAAATAGTCTTTCTCCGAGATGAATTGCGCTGCTCCGATATAGGCAGATGTGCCTACGTATATGTTAGAAAACGTGCAACACGCACAACGTAGAGCAAACGTACCAACTCCCTCAATTGTCTTTGCAAGATTCGCAAATGACAATGCGTCGGTATAAGGGCTGGTAGAAACAAAAGGACGTAAGTCACACCAACAACCACAATGAACACAAAGGGACGAACAATGTGTAATTGCAAGGATGAACGACTGGGCTCTTGCCAATTAACCCTTGTATCGTAGCAGCATGCGTCTGCTCATGCTGGAGGATCTGCTGGACACGTCCACGATACACACTTGGCAAACCAGCATTGGTAAAGTCCTGTTGCGAGAACTTTGCCAAACCGCCGGTGTAGAAGTTGACCTCGATGAGCTCAAGATTCAGCGCAAAGACCAAGATGTCCGTGTCTAATATCACAACAGCCGCGTTAGCAGATTGAACCAACCGAACAAGCACAACATAACGTACCGGTGAACTTGGTGTCACGGGGAACAATGACAGAGGCGCTAGCCTGGAGTGCGGCCAACGCAGCGGTAAAAAGGATAGACTTCATGGTGAGACGACAAGGTGGATAGAAAAAGTCTGGGGAAAGTCTCCATTTCCTTGAATCATTTATAGGCCATGAAAGAAAGACCCGTGGTAGAACCCGAATTTAAGGAGTTCTTGCTAGAATCAGGGGAACTGGCAGGAGACAGTCATTCTGACTCGTAATTATGACGAAAGGTGGACAAATTTTGTCTTGGCGTGTCCCAGAAGGCGCTAGGAGTACATGTTCTAGGTTGAGAGTCCCTTTCTTCGTGGTAACAGCTGAAATGCGTTTTGACGGAACGCACACTGGGGTGCACGTGCCATTACTGTCATGTGACCCCTAACGGGTCAACAATGACTCATACTATGACCTACCAGCACCTCGGCGTACCCAGTCACTGATTGTCACATATTTTGGCTGGACAAGCGTGACTCTCGTTTTCCAAGTTGTCACGCAACATCACACTTGTCCAGCCAAAATTCGTGACGATCAGTGACCGCCGACTCGTAGGGTGCGCCGAGGTGCTGGTAGGGCATAGTAGCACCACAATGATCCATGCTATGCATTTGAAATTTTGAACAGACTTTGACAATGTACATGCGGCTGTGTGTGGAGATTTATTGGATAGAACGTTGAGCATGAGCTGAGATATAAGGGAGATAAGATGGTCACATTGTTGTTTTGCCAAGTTTGCCCATCAAAGCAAGTCTATCTAATTGACGACCATTTCTCTCCACAGTGCTAGCCTCTATTGACACAAATATTTTTGAGAGTTTACAGTGGAGGTATTGGTAACTCGCACACAAAATTTTAAATCAGATAAGGAGAATATGAGGTGTCTAAGAATATTTTACGGTTGGCTTATGGGTGCTGACCAATTCAGGGCAAACGGGTCAAGGCATTTTAACACTACCCAAAAGCATCCCTCCAGAATAAAACTTACAGATACAATATGTATATGTTTCCTCCTACTCACTCGCAAAATTTTATGTGCTCCCAATGAGAGGGAGGCGTGCAATCTGCAATTTAAGCTAAAGTGACCCGGCAATGGTCACATGACAGTATATTTAATCACGTGATATGAATGGTCCTTGCGAAAATTTTCTGTAAGGTTTCCCACAAAATCAACATCTCAAAAGTGACTTCCGTAGTCATATGAGTCTGTACATCAGGAACTCTGCCTACATTGGGTATATGCCAATCACATATCGGTTAGGTACCTCCAAACTTCCTGATGATTCGACAGACGCAGCATCACCTGTACCAAGTTCAATGGACACAGCATCACCTTCACCATTAATCCTCGCCACCCAATCTCCCAGCCAATCCTCGTATTCTTCGGAGTATGGTTCCACTACAAATTCAGCATACTTCCCGACACCCTCTTCGTAATCTCCTCCAAATAGCTTCCTTTTAATTCTACGCGATGTCATATCCTCTGCCAACCCCGTGTGAATTACGATTTTTCGTAGCGTTTCCGGAAAGAATGGCTTAATTTTCCTGAGGCTGCGAGAAACATGAGCAGCTTGTTCGAGTTTTGGAAGGAATTTACGCACTGAAAAATGAATTCGCTTGTATGGAGGCACTCCAACGATGGTGCCATCTCCGTTAAGAGGCACGCAGATGGCTCGAGAAAGCCTTCGATTTGAAATCTCCTGAGCGATGGAAAAACGGTGGGAAGACCTGGGAACAACAAAGTTGGGCGGTTGGAGTGATAAGGACGCATTCTGAATAAGGAAAGATCTCGAAGAACTGGCAACTCCGGAATGATTACTTCGAGGGGGCAATGCTGATACATTATGAAATGTACGGTGAGAGTTTCGAGAGTCGGTGCCACAGTTTTTAGTATAAGACGAAAAGCGTCAAGGATGGCATATTGGTGGTTTTCAAAATCCGAGAGGAATTCCTTTAGGCAGTCGGGTGTACTTCCAATTTTCCAGTCGGGTGGGCTTCCAACTTTCTCTGACTGTATCTCCTCTATTTCTTCCGCCAATTCTGCTTGCTCTTCAGCGGTCAGCCCGTCGAAACTGTCTTCCGAATCAGACGGATGCGATTGCTCCGAGTCAGACGCATGCGAATGCTCCTCGTCTGAGTCTAGTACATAATCAACGTCTCGAGCTTCCCAAAGTTCTTTGGAAGCGCTCGCCCTCCCAGAAAGACCCTCTTCGGGAAGGGCGGGGTCAGCACTTTGAGACCCGTCACTCTTGGTATCCAAATCTTCATCCGAGTCATAGATGTCCGACGTGTAGACTTTCGGGAGAGGATTGTGAACGAAGAGGTTTTTGACGCGTCTGAGCTCAGGAGGGAGGGACGATATCACGGATCCGAACGCGATGATTTGCTCGCAACGCGTTAGAGCGACGCTTTGGTATCGATAAGGTTTCGAGTATGCGTTGATCCACCGCGAGACTTGGGAAAGGGCGAGAGCGGTGCTTCCGTCATCTCTGCAGGCGAGGGAAAAGATGATTTCCCATATTTCTGGAGGACATTCCTCAGCTGACATGTTGGTTCAAGTTGAGGAAAAGGATAAAACTATTCAGAAACCCCCTTTCTGCGAAAAATAGTACCGCTTATATAGAAACCCCCTTTCTGCGAAAAATAGTACCGCTTATATAGAAACCCCCTTTCTGATAGGACAAAGAATGTCGGCATAAAATGCCGGAAATTGATCATGTGATATGTTCTGTTGATCAAAGAACGCGATACGACTTGGAGACTCGACACGCAACTCTTGTGTGTCTTATGGGGTGTGGCAGCACAGCAGCGACCATTTGTGGAGCAGTTGCTGTCGCATGTCCCTTAACACTGTCGACTACGGCGTCTACCTGGCTGTGAAGACATGCGCTATTTAACAATTATGGTGATGTTGACGGGCCAACTAGAGGTGTGTACAGTAGATCATAACTCTTAATCACTATCTAAATATTCTTCAAGCTTGGGCAGGACCTTTTCATATGGCCAGTCTTATCACAAATGCCGCATTTTCGCGTTTGTGCTGCCTTCGGTTGTGCCCTTGCCCCTCCTCCTTGCGGACGTCCTTCGGTAGCACCTGTTATTCTCCGTTCACGTGGCCTGCCCTTTGGATTGAGGATTGGCGGCTAATGGAAGTCGTCGTTTTCAGCCTCGCGTCGACGCGAGGCGCTGTATTTTATGTCGGTAAGCGCATTCAATCTCATAGAAATACTACAAATACTGGGAGAGGTGGTTAGAAATGCTTGAAAGTCACTTGAATAATGTCTCATCATGGGAGTTATTGATACCACAGAACTAAGATGAGTGAGCGCGATGTCCTCGAGGCGAGGTTTGGGCGAAGAGCTACGCGCGGTCACATGTCCTTGTTTGGGCAAGGCACGCAAATTCGCATTATGATGGGCAAACAAAAAATCATGGGGTTTCTCGCTTAACACAGAGAAACCCCTGATTTCTCGCAGAAAGGGGGTTTCTGAATAGTTTTATCCGAGGAAAAGGTCACCGGTGGATCAAAAAGTGATCACACGCGGTCACGTTTCTTATTACAAATGAATTGCTCCCGTTATGAGTCCACATCGCCTTCAACTTCCCCTCCTTGAATTTCTTTCAACGTCGCATTACACACCTCGACCCAAGCCTTCCCGATTTTATCAAAGTCTTCGAGCTAATTAAAACACAACGATTCAGAACACCGGACGTACTATATAAGAACGGACTCACCTCATGCCACACCTGAACACAACACCGAGTCCACCACGCCTCGTTATGATAATAATGAACTGAATACATCTTCTGTTCCCTTAGCATTTTGTTCGTGAATTTGGAGTTGACAGCGTGGATACATTTAACGGAGCCGGGAAAGGGGAGTTCGACGTTCGCCTGGACGTTTAACAGCCTTATGAGCTGGGCTGGGGCGGAGGAGTAGTGGAACACACCATGTTAAGCGTGAATTTCCCATCTGAATCCATTACCCGCGTCCCGAACAGTTCAGCCAGCCGTTTACCACCCTTTATAGCTAGGTCATGACAATATGCGTTTATCTTCTCTTCTCCGCCGAGCCAAGCACGGAATTCGAGGGCTGTCACACACAAATTGTTTGTCGTATATTGATGAGAGATGGAGATTATTCCACGCACCAGGAACCACGCTGAGATATGATGTGAAATCGATGGTTCCGTTCCCTAACACTCACATCAGGCAATGCAAAGAAACGTGGAATAACGGACGGACATTCGAACTGATCGACAAATGTCGAGCTGGTCCGCTCGTCAGGAGACTTGTAAGCATGCGAAGTGGGTATAGACGTCTTAATAATATGTTGATTCCTGAAGCTCCTCAGTAACGCAAAGCAAATAAATACCGACGTAGAAGATCGTACCTCTCCGGAACATATAAAACAGCACACGGGCGTTTCGCATACAGCCATTTATGACAGTTCTAAAGCAATCGTCAGACTCACCGTATACCCAAAAGAAAGTTTGAACTCACAGAGAACCAAAAATCTGGCTGCGCCTCCTCAAGATTGATCCCTACTTCCTGGCCGATCGAATGTGCCGCGTCAACGACGCTCCAAACCCCTTCTTCTCTACAAATCGCCACAATCTCCTTCCACGGAAGGTACATCCCCGGAACCGATACAATAGAGTCAATGATTGCGACGCGTTTATTATTCTTCCCCACAGGGTGCGCTTTGAGGTGTGCGTGGAAGGAGGTGAGAATGTCAGAGTGGGTGGTTGGAAATTTGAGCACAAAAGTCGCAGTTTTCGGGTGTGGACCGACGTCGGATATCGATTCCACTGTACTGAAAACTGAGCCGTACGTAGTGCTGACTGAGTCTCTTATTTGAAAAGGATTTTGGCGAAAGAAACGTAAAAGGGCTTACAAGGAATGAGAACATCATCCTTCTCCCATTCGAAGTTCCTCAACACGGTATTCGCACCCATCGAGGCATTATTGAGTAGTACAACTTCGTCCATCTTCGCTCCAATTAGGTTTGCTAGTTTCTCTCGCACTGCGATGAGATCATCTTGGTATGTGAGGCGGTGGAATAGATCCGGGTTTCTCTCAATGCGCGCGGTTGTTTCCTGAATAAATTGTAGAACTGGATTGGGGGTACTGCCGTACGAACCTGGAAAAATCTCATCAAGTATTCTGTAGTAGACTCAAGAAATCGTACCATGATTGAAGTTGAGGTATTGTGGATCGAAAGCAAAATACTCTAGCATTCCGTGCCCAAAAGGAGGCACTGGCTGTTTGTAGAACTTTTCACACTGAATCTTCGTGAATTCCATAGTTTCGTTGTGCTGGGTGGTTGGTGGGGGGCAACTTCGCAAATTTGATCCGGTCGGACTCCCGAGTCAGCCGTCATGACATGAACACGTGACAGAACACGTCCATGATAGCCTTTTTAGGAAGTCCACAATCCGGTTTGGGCAGGCCATAAATCCCAGTGAAAATCGACCCTAAAAAATGGCCAAATGGATCGGTGGAGCCCGATCTGAACAGGGGAGATGGCCGGAAATTGGCAAATATATCGATTTGATCCGGAGGAACCCGATCTGCACAGGGTCGATTTTCACTGGGCATAAATCCTCGGAAACGTATGGTGTGATAGAAGATGCTCTGGTCTAATAATAAAATTTGAATATGAAAAATACAAGTTTGGCAGGGATGCCATCATGCAGCTGCGGCTAATATTTTGCAAAATCTATGCAAAAGAGTCTTTGTCATTATTTTGCGGCGGATAATTAGGTATGTGTGTAAAGCCTCTATCAATAAGCGCAATAAGCCTTGATTGAAAAAGAATGTCTTCGGGAGGTACCACTGTTTGGGCCTGCAAGGAACATTTTTCATATTCAAATTTTATTAATGATAGACCAGAGCATCTTCTATCACACAACATATGTTTCCGAGGATTTATGGCCTGCCCAAGCCGAATTGTGGTTTGAGTACATACACGTGACTGTGGATTCTGGAAGGCGTGGTTGGTAGGGCGATAATAATTTACACATGCCATCAACATGCCTAGAGCAACTTCATATACTTAAAGCAACCCCCCGAATAACGACTATCCGAATCACTTTCCATCGGCTTGTCGATTCTTAAGACCATGAGGTTCCTTATATTGTAAGCGAAAAATCATCTGGATCGCCCTTTTGATACCAATCCATGTAGGAGCGCCACGATAATATGCAAATTGGCGGTTCTCTCATTCGTGCAAACTATTGTCTGTTGCGCTGCAGCGTCGTCGCCTTACGTCCTCTCCGACCTCGAGCTAAGCGACGTGGCGCTGATTCAACCACCTGTAAACGAGTGCTTTCATCCTCCTCGCGACCAGTGCACCTTTTACGCAGATTGCCTCGAGGCGAGGTACTACTGTGGTTCGTCCGGCTACCCAATGGGTTACGGAACCAAATTCTGCAATAAATTCAGCTCTTCTCGAGACGAGTTCTCGGAGGGAGGACAGAAATGGATGTTGGACACCATGGAATGCTTGCAGGGGGCATTGGTGCCTGAGGCTACAGGGGCCGTCAATACGACATGTCAGAAACTTGAAGACAAGGCATTCGCATCGCACCCGAGGTGTTATCTGTCCAGTGGGTTGTGTAAGCTTCCTGTGTCTGACTGGTTGGAGATCGTGAAGGTTGTTCAGTTGAAAACACTCTTTCAGAATTGGGATGCGTTCAAGGGGACTGTGGAAGCAGCTGAGGGGTGTCTAGAGTTCTACGCGTTCCTATTGCATATTGGAGGACTCTAAGTTGTTACGTCATTCTGGCTCCTAGCTAGCGAATTCTTTGTAACATATCACATCTATACAGTGTTGGGTCTCCAAGCAAGTTATTCCAATTGTTGATCATTATTTAGGTGGTGGTTTTCGATATGTCAAGTTTATACCTTCATGAGCTACTGAGAATTTATGTTGTTCGAGTCGTCAATAAAAGGTTTTTCGAGATCTTATTCTTGTTTTATTTGGATATATGCTTCCTGGTGAAAGAGGTACCTGTTTGTGTGTATTTACGCGATATATATGTTGAACATCTCTCACGTGCCTTAAAATATTGATCACTTTTTGGACCCAGCGCACTGCTTCTTCCTCCGCTGGAAGCCACAGTCTGCGTATATCTTTGTGGAAGATTCTTTAAGCCCTAACGCTGCCGAGGGATGAGCGGTGCATGGCACCTTCGGCGCTCAAGGTTCTTTCCTTCAACACAAACAACTCCCATGCCAAGAGGAAAAGGTTCTACCTTCTAAGGCAGCTCGAGGCCAAAAGCCTTCTCCCTCTACCGGCTCACCGGTGACGTAATGCCAGACTTTGGAGCAGGACGAGATTACCCGCTGCACCAAACCTGCTACTGATGGGCACCCGGATCCGAGCGCTGTAAAGAACACCAATCGCAATATCGAAAACTTTCCACCAAGTACAAGGCACGGTGGATGCACGAGTACCTCCAAGCCATCCGAGTCGAAAATATGGGCCGGGAAATTCATAGAAAGAGATTCTTTTTGAAAAGTGAGTGAAAATCAGTGGAGTATCCTGAAGCGACTGAATCCCAAGCACATAGTAATTGATGATGGGCATAGGATTCGAATGAAAGTGCCTGAAAAACATCGGAGCCCTCGACGCCCTTCAGGGGAGGGCCTTCACCCTGCGCGCTGCAGATGATGCTGCTAAGGAACTTTGAATCGATGAATTCCGGAGCAGTGATGTACTAGGTGATTAACATAAGGATCTCCTGTCCACAGCGAACATCATAAACCGCGCGCAGGTTTTCCCAAGGTCCACCGTGCGAGACGTTTAACCCGCCGTGGCGACGAAGCCCGCGCCTAGAGCAGAAAAGAAGATGAAGGCGCTGGTCTGCTAGCGACAGATTTGATCGGGATTGAGCTACGACGGTAATCATAGGCTTTTCTCCGACAAGCACCTTTACTATCATCCATCTATAGCCGCTCCTTTTTGCATTTGAACCTTTATGAATCCGGGAGCTACAACTGCTTCCCATAAATTTGATCCAACGATCCGGCGCTGGGGGGCGAATCTCAAGAATAAATTACCATGCCGCACAGCAATACGCTCGCCGGATAGTTTTTCACGAACCGGTGCATCTTTGAAGGCTCTTGACAAGGTTTCCTTTGACGCCCTTATGTTAGACGAAGACTTTTCGTATGAAGACGCCGCAAGATTCGCGTTGGTGTTCATGAAGAGACTGGAAATTGGAATGCTGTTGTGAAAAGATTCAGCTTTCGAAGCGATCGAGATGGAGTCGCGAGGTTGAAACCTTTGGGGATTCTGGGGGAGCCTTACCGCAAATGCGACAACGCCCATGGATGGTTACCTGACTAGCCTTGATCGGCCTAACTGTTCGGGATGGTTTTTCCACTTCAAGAAAATGCCTGTCAAGTATTTTGTTATCTTGGATACGTCACCTGGGCGGGAAGTGACCCTTCTTGCTCGTGAAGTGGCTTGGGCCGCGCTCCGAGCCCAAGGTTTGGGAGGGGGTAATACGAACCACGGAAATAGGCGAAGCATCGGACATTCTCTTCCATAAATGCGCAGAGCAGCGTCTCGCGTGGATACCAAAAGAACTCGGTGGCTGATATGCAACGAAATGGCAGAAAGCTAAATCGTAGCGGATATTCTCAAGTGGTGTTCAAAACGCGCAAGTCTCCCGAGGAACAACCTCTGGGTCATTGGTAATTCATATTAGTTCTCTTCAAATTCTCTTTGTATGATACTCGCTGTTTGGTACCATCCCTGAATTAATGACACCGTTGTGTTCATGGAGGGTTGTGCCGCAACATGAAACGCAATCTCTTTTCCTTCACAGTGGGTTATAGCCGAGACCGCGTTCGACGACTGAAAAGGTGCGGAAGATACGATAACAGTTTTGTTTCCTTAGTAGGCAAGCATCGGACGAGGCGCTGCGGATTTTATTTAAAAATGGAGGGACTTCAAATCTATTTCCAAATTCAGTACCTCTCATTCTAAGTAATATCAATACATTTTACAACTATAAAATCCGCATATCGTCTAAATACCACAAACCCAAATCAGGTAGAATGAAAGTCCGGACGCCTTCTCAGCGAGGGTCAGCCTAGGCGAAGGACGAAGCCGTAAGTCTTTCAAGTTAGGAAAGAGAAAGACGATTGACCTGAACGTGACCAGACTACTCGAGTCGCCGCCGCCCGATGAATCATCAAGCGTCCAAGTTCTAACTTGTCTCACTCAGAAATTCATTCAAAGTGCATTGAATCGATCCATGAGTCCGCTGATCAGCGCTGCTGCATATTCCGCGCATGTTAGAAAAGAAAATGGCGGAGTTGTCACGAATCACGTACTTGAAAAAGGGCAACTCGCAGAGAGAGTAGACACCACAGTGAGTGCTTGGCGCACTAAATTTGACAACGCAGTTTCCCTTCCGATGGAGACTTGGCTTGCCCAGCCTCTTTGAGCGCGTTGAGATTTCAAATTCTCGATCTCATCCATTACTAAATGGGCAACAATAGCCCAAATCTCCTACATTTTCGTGAGCTTGTTAAAACGGACAGAACGGCGGTCTAACATGCTTACATGAATGACTGGTGTGAGGTGCAAGAGATGATCGGGGTCTACGGTTACGACAAGTTCCATTATATTCTTCGCAGAATCTAATTTCTTCGCCTTCGAATTTGCGCTCTGTTCAGCAAGAATACCATGTAGCTTAATAGTGCACATATGGATGATACTGTAACAGATAAGTATCCATTTCGCTTCCTCTCGGTCGGTTATCCCGGGAATTTGGGTTAGGTTCGGGAGCGAGGCTTTGATAATATCAAGTATCGTGTCGAGAGAGGAAAATTGTGCTGAGAAAGCAGAGAATTGAGAATACGAAGTCCCTGTAGATATTGTTAGACCCGTATAGTATTATTTTTGAAAGATGCTAACCAGGAGTCCATGCCCGCGCAAGCGATTCGACTCTGTCCCACAGGCAAGAAGCCTTGGCGTGCATCGCGAGGCGCGAAGAGCCCGAATCCGAAGTAGGTTGACCACTGAAGAATTTAATGAGCGTTCTGTCTGTGCTGATATGCCCAGGGAATCGCCCCTATACGAAAGTCAGTCTTCTTTTCAAAGCGAGAAGTTGTAGGTTATCAAACACACCAATTCATAATCATCCATGCCGAGAGGCCATGGTGTATCGAGCGCAGCATCGGGTTTGTCAGGTGGGAATGCCATATTCGGCGTTTCGCCAAGCGTAGAAGATAAGCAGTGATCTAGGATGAACACGCTCCAAAACCCCCGAATACGTTCTCCTTCTTCAACGGGATCGGAGGGGGACGGCAGTGGACTCCGATAGTACCCTCGTGCCACATTTCTTGAACGAATCTTATGCAGACCAGCTCCGAGTGTGATAGATACTGCAGCCGTGGTATGATATTTGGCCTCAGTCTGTCGATTATTCATGAAGGAGTAGTAAGCAAGAAGTACTTCGGCCTGAATTCCATGAATAATCTCACTCGGGTGACTTCCCGAGGAAATAGTGGTGGCTTCTCGAGTAGCCTCGGTGAGATAGTATTGCTCCTGAGATTGCAAGCTCGCATCTCCCAGAAAAAACAAGCCCAGCAGATAAGCCGAGTAGATGAGAGCAGGAGAAGGTCGGGACGGGTGGCCAGCTGGTAACGAGAGGAGGATTGATGCCCGAAATCGAGCAACGTGCAAGAAGAATCCAAAGCCAGAACAGTGTGCGAGGAACGCTTCTATGCTAAGATAAAATAAAACTCCGATCTCCTTGAAGAGACGCAATTTCACTCACAGTCGTTCAACAACGTCGGGTGGTGGAGAATTTGTCGCAGGTCTGCTCGAGTATGGATTGTAAAGAATAACGGGTCTACTCGAAGACGCCACAGGATTCATTCGACGATTGATTCGTTCCTCGAGGTGACTGATCTGGTCTTCCAGAATTTCAGTCTGCGTGCGAGTGTTGTCCACCCCATATTCACAATCTTTGGATATGTAGAAGTTTTCACAAGGGCCGCACACAGGCCGCACCCCATCACATTTCTAAGTAATATTTCAGCGCTCTCGTCGGAAAAATCTGATGAGGATGACATACGACTTTTCGCCTGCGGCAGGATATACAAGCACTCCCACGAGCTATAGGACGAGAAATCGATTGAGCGCTCTGATTCATGGTTTGCTGGTGTTCAAGAAAGAAGGTTATGGTCGATTAACTTGCCTTCAGTCAATTTATACTCCACAGCTACTCTAATGACAAATCCAATGGCGACTCACTCGATTCACGTAAACCGACTTTTGCTGCGGGGATTTTATGTCTTTTTGACGGTACTACAGCCATTTGAATTGCTGACTTCCGATGTATTGGTAAGAAGTCAACGAAAGGTTACGCGTCAAGATATGTGGCTGTGCATCCGGTTATGAGATTTAATTACCCCATCCAGGGAGATGAGGTGTTGACGCGTTGTGCTTGTAAAATCCTGAGAGAAACATTAGAAATATGGCTCAGAGAAGTACGACGACTTCACTGAAGGATGCCAGAACTTTCTTGACTAATTACTTCGTCCGCAGGTCTTTCCGCAGCCAGCTTGTCGAAAAGTGAGTTGCTATTGCAATTGCTTGACGCGTCACCCTCCTTAGATAGTCAAGACAAAGATCAAAGCAAGATCAAAGGTGAACGCGCCTGCATAAAGGTTCACTTTGGTAGCAGTGGCTAGTCGCGTTTACTCCATACAAGTGCAATCCAAAACACGGACATCACAAAGGGCACCCGAAAGACAAAGACAAGACAAAGAGAAAAGTCGTCGACGTCGTAGCAGACGTTCATTCCTTTGCTCAAAGCCATCTCTGTAACCTAGGACCCTATTCATCTCTGGTAAATCCGGGCCGGCAATTGACCGACGAGGGAGGAGAGCAAAGAAAGTCATGTCATCAAGCGGACCAGAGGCGCGTTGTATTTCCCAATCGATTGCCTTTCGAGGCATGTACTTAAACTTAAGGGTTGTCCGTGGTCGCTCGCCCACGTGCTTCGGACACTCCTCACTCCGACTCAACTCCGACTCCCCGACAATCTCCGCTTCCCATCATGAACGATCGCGACAGCTCATCACAGACGGTCAAGATATGTTGCCGTGGCACGAGGATGGTGGGTTAGATGACGTGGATTCCCAACCAAAGTGTGTCATACAGTCATAGACCGGTGACTAAGTCCTCGACATATCTTCTCAAGAGGCTTAGAGGGATTCTTAGGAGGGAAGTCTACTCTCCAAAGATACATATCTCGTGAAATGATAACAGGCTGTCACTATTCCTGCGCCTTCTATGGCAAGCTTCCACCGATACCCAGCCCTCACGACAACTACACTCATAAGGCATCGTTACAGTTCCTCCTGGCTGAGATCCCACAATTCTCCTCGTCTACGCCAGGACCTCTGTCACACACACAGATACTCTTTTGCTCGTCCTTATGAAGTTCCCACTCCTCCTGGGCTTCGTAACACCTGACTGCGGCGACCTCTTGACTCGCACTGGCTATCCTATACAGTACAGCCGTCGCTGGTTCCCTCGCCAACTTCCACCCCTTTGGGCGGATCTTCCGTTCCGAGGAAAAGTGTATCAATCATTTTATTACTCTGGACACATTTCGGGGCGGAGGACACTAGTAGTGGCGCTCCGCTTTGATCGTGCGAACCATGAAACATAAATCACCTTCCAGTGTCTGTTTTTCCTTGAACGCGGCGACCTACAGTGTTTTGCATGTGAGATTAGAATTCAAATCTCACGAAAACTTGTTTGTTCTTGTGGTCTGTGACTGATGGGGAGTCAAGGTGACCTTGAAGTCACTTCGATTCGACGGCAACACTAGAATCAACATTCAATCATCGACGTAAATGCAGGTTCCAACCAAGTTCCAAGGGAGGGGACTCCTCCACTTGAAGAAATAAGGATCTAGTCAGAAGACTAGATCCTTTATCGGCTACCCGTGACCTTCACTAAGAGCGCTCTGGCAGAGGAAGTTCAACGTTCAACGCTGTGACACCGAGGCACACACATTACAACTAATACAAGAACAAACAAGTTTTCGTGAGATTTGGATTCCAATCTCACATGCAAAACACTGTAAGTTACAGTATCTAGAAAGTTCATACATTGACGTCGAGAACCTGGTTGCTCTTTCTTTTCCGAAGTACTCCGTCTCTCGCCGATATCCCGCCTCTCGGTGTATTGCCAATGACTCCTCCAAACTTGTGCTTCGATGGAAAAGAGAACCCTGTGTGGTGAGCATTCTTATCCTTGGCCATTCCAGAACTGCTCCGCCACAGGCGTTTCTTTGAATTTGTGGCGTCTCCTTTTGTATATTCTGACTTGACGCCAACTCAAGCTTTTCCCCTCAATCTAGAAGAAAGTGGAGCCTACTTATCGTTCGGAGGGATCTTCTTCTGGAGCTAGCATACTTCTGGTCGTTCTCTACTGTCCCATCTCAACTCGTCGACACGTTACCTTCTCAGCACTTATGTATAGCAGTCCTGAACCTGTACGTCAGCCGCATCCATTTGTTTTGCGAACGGATTGAAACATCTGCTCGTAGAAATTTGTCTGTGTGAATTCTTCGACGCTTCTTTCCGTCAACTCAATACGATTTCACTTGATTACCGGGAGTTTCTGCGGCACGACCTGAACGCGACGCTTGATCCTCATGCCTTCAAGGCTTCCCGTGAACCTCCGTCAGTCAATCCTCGTTATCTCGATTGCGTAGTTGGAATTTAACCAATGTTGGCCTTACCCTCAGATCCGAGAGATACCCTCAATCCAGCCACGGAATTTTACCCCAGAGCTCACATACAATAATTAACAGACTTTAACGGCAAAATAGCATTCCAAGGTGAAAAGCCAATGTGTCGATGCACTTATTGCGAAAAAAAGATCATAACACGGCATCCCAGAGGATTGAGTAGGCCTCAAAGACGGACCTCGAATCAACAACGTCGAGTTGAACTTTCATTTGATATGGCTTTCCTCGTCTTTTTGTGTTGTACTAGCTCCTTCGCTGCTTGAGGCTTCCTCGGATACGGATGACAGGGGCGCCGTAGTCCTTTGCTGAGCGAAATTGAGGCTGAACGTTTGACTTGGTTCAGCTAGTCGACGCCGGGCACGTTTCCGGCCATTTAGAACGCTAAGGAGCACATTGGAATACCTGTTCGAGTCAGCATCTCTTGAAAGACATTCACAGCGCAGGGACAACTTACAACCCCCCCAGTATGTACATTCTAGAAAATTAGACGTCAATAGCGTTCACACTAAGTTTATCGCTCGACTCACATGCCAAGTTGTTGGAGTGAACTTGGCGGAGACCTTAAATAGAAAATTAGTTGAACAAGAGTCGTTATCAGGGTGACGGCGCCAGTCTCCAAAGTTACGATGATGAGACGATCCATAAGACGCTTCGTTGACTTAAATGAGGATTCTAGTTTCGCCTGTACGAGCTAGAGAAAAAGAGAAGATTTGAACCAGTTTGAATTACACAGAAGAAGAATGGGAGTACCAGAAATATCATGGTCGCAACGATGATGGAGTCACAGATCAAGGTCCCCCATAACCAAAGCTTTTGAGGGGAAGGTTGGGTGCGTTGAGCTTTTCGGGGATACAGCAAAAGAGAACGTACCTCAGCCGAAAGGTTTAAAGTACGCGGTTTGGATTGAGCGCACTATTATCAAAGTTATGAGAATCCGTAGACAAAATTTCCAGTGGAGTTATGGACCACGTACAGCTACTCCACGGGCAATCGCAGCCGCTAATTGCATAAATGCGACCTAGGAAAGGTTCAACGCATGTAAAACAAACCAGGAACGCCGCTAACCAAACAGATTGCGCTTGAAATGATTCGATAGATTTTGGACTCTCTTTTCAGGGTCCATATTCGCCTATTACGATGTTGGAGGTCATGCACGAAAACGAGGTTTGAGCAAGGTTTGAGGAGGACTCACCAGGCAAAAAAAATCTGAACAATGCAGGATTCTATTGATCGCGAGGTCAGTACGTCGAAGGATCGATTGAGTGGAAGACTCGCCTATCCCAGTGAGCGGCACGGTAAGGAAAGGAAATACGGAAGTGCCAATGAAAATAGTTGGGTTTCCCCATGCTACTACCAAGCTCTGCCAAGCACCCGAAGTCACCGCCATCGACCGCACCTGATCAACGGCGAGGCATACCCACACTAATATTTGGTACATGAAGGCTGGAGAACGAAAATCGCGATGATGCTCACCCGCTACTTTGATGAATTTCGGGTCCCCATCCAAGTTATCGGTGTAGAAGAAATCGTCTGAAAATCCGCAAGAGATGATGCTGTAGTGGTGTTAGGAAATAGAGTAAAGTAAACCCACAGCATTGCACCAATAATGACCCCGACAAAAACCAAGTGATGATGGTACCGATAAGCTGGACGCAACTGTAAGCTTCTGCGTTCGAAATTTCATTCCCAATGACGAACGAGAGGTGCGGTACTAGTGTATCGACATAAAGGCATGCGCACGATTCCATCATGAGCACTTACTCAGATATGGCTATCCCAGTGGCGGCCATCTTCAAGTTTCTGGTGGCGGCGCTGGTCTTGAGACTGCTGAGAGTGGGGGGATCTTACTTGAGTGGATGTAAATTTCAACGATTTTAACTTCAGGGCTGATACATATGTGTCTTGATGCGTTCTTCAACATCGGAAGTCATGAGGTCAACCCAATTCATTCAAAACCAATCATCGCAAATTTCGGCTGGATACCGGTGTTTGTGGGTAAATAAAAAAATAAAAAATAAATAAAAGAAGGGAGAGAGGAGAGAGAGAGAGATCACTGATTTATGGCAACTCTGTGCTAAATTGATCCTCAAAAACCTCAAGGGGCACGAAATCAATGTTGGGCGTATCCTCGAGCTTGTTGATCAGGCAGGAGGACCCTTAAAATAATAAATTCAGATTCTCGCTTAGATGGTTCGGGCCCTGCAAATTCGGTTCGTTTACCTTCAATACATTCAGATACTCGCTTAGATGCGTATATTTGATGTGGCCTGACAGGGCCTGACACGATGGCAACGAGGAAGATAAGATCATATTAAATAACTACAAGACGTGCCTTAGTCGTCGCGCAAGTGGCACAACTCATTCGGTCGCTTCGAATTCCTCCCTCGACATTGTACCAAACCACAATCACGACACGGATTACGGCAATTCAGGACCTTCTGGCTGCCAGGACACTCAGGTCGTGCACACTTTGCACAAGTTCGACGCTTCCTTGGCTTTTTTGCTGCGGGCTCTTGCATTGCCAACGACGCTGCGACACGTTTTTGAGCCACCGAAGAGGCAACACTTGTGGCCGACATCGGATTTCGAGGTGGCAATGCCATATTTTGAGATGCTGAGGCAATAGTGGGTTGTTGATAGCTGGGAGAGTTGGAGGATGGTCGTGATGCAGTAGACTGGTGGGCCAAGTGCATGTGTGGACTCAGAGGGCGCGAGGCTATGTGATATGATGGCTGGAATTCCCGAAAGTTTGAGACTGAGGATGGAGCGGCATGTGATGATGTTGAAGGGATGGGACTACTGCTGGATACTCGGCTGATAGTGAGGTTTCCGTTTGACGATGACGGTTGGTCCAGAAGGGGCATATCCCATCCGCTGAGAAACCCCTTTTCTGCTGCATGTGGCTTGGATGTTTGGCATGGTACTGCGGGGGCAGCGGCTGATCGTCGGCTATCGTGAATAGCGTTTGCGAGTGGTTTCCGAACATTGAAGGAGATGGAGAGAGCTTCCTTGGTGTCGGAGTTCTTCAGCCACTGTGAGTGGTAGACTTTCAGTTGGTCATTGAGCTAATTGGAGTAAAGTAAGATACAGAGAACAACTTTAAATGGAAGAAAAATGTGCACCTTGTACCATACATCGTCAGTTCTATCAGCCCATGCATTCCACACCCTTGTAGCTTGGTTCCAGTTTGGGAGGGAGCCATCCGGCGGGTTGAAATGTCGGTCGTTCTCCATCAGGGTTCGGAAAAGCCCCTTCTCTGATGATGTGTGGACTGGGAGGATGGCTTTGTGTGTACCTTGCATTTCTGCAAGGAATTTGTGCTTTGGTGGCTTTTGGGTGGAATCAGCGATGTCGACAAATGGGGCCATTCCGCTTGAATCCCGAACATCACCTGGGATCGGTAATATGCCCAGTTTTTCATTGGTAGCCATGTAGAGATTGCCGTTCACCCATCCTGTGATCGGAATGACATTGATGAGGACTTCTTCAAGATATACACGTAGTTCTTGAAGGCGGTTGGTGATCCAAATTGATGTGTGGCCTTTGTATGATTGGCCAGTAGAATTTTTAATTCCGACCTTCACAATTTCAGCAATTATAATCAGGATGGTTCATTAATCACGTACAGTGAGGTTATGGTGCAAAACGAAGTCATGCAAACATGCATTGACATGTCGGATTGATGCTCCACACTTAGGGAGTCATGCTCGTATATGCTTGTGAACTCCTCCCTCAGTAGCATTGGTCCCTCGAGCACATTTGTAAATAGTAAGACCAGTCTTTTTATCTAGCCCTTTGACAGTGTAGAGTGGAATGCCAGGTGGGTCTGATAGATACCCATTTTGAATAAGTTCGAGAATATGCTTTGCAGTCTTCCAATTATCGGTTGTAAAGAGTGATTTCTTCGAACGAAGATCGATGAGTGGCCCATATGTCCGAAAAACACGTGATACGAAATGCCGAAGTTTTTTGGGAGAGGGAATTATATGCTTGCATCTTTCACGGACCCATTGGGGGGAGGAATTGCGGAGTCGTTCGTATGTTTGAGGAGGATTCTGGGTTGCACCCCAGCTATTGATTCGTGCTTTATCGTCCTCATCGGGAACAAAAATTGCATCACAAAGCTCTCTCGTGAATTGAAGCCTAAGGGAATGTGATGCCGAAAGGTAGAACATGTTGAAAACATGAAAGGGATCCTTCAAAACACGACTGCGAAGTGTTGAGTCAAATTCTGGCTCATCAGGTTGGAGTTCTGGCTCAGGGCCAAGGATTTTCTCTCCAATTGAAGCACATTTAGCATCAACTGATTGAGGGACTTCGGACAAAGGGGACTCAGAGGCTGAGAGATCACTTGTCAGTAAATCTCCAACGGAGATAGCACCACTATCATCTGGTTCAGGCTCCTCAACACCAGCAGGACATGAGGGTCTAGTCAGGTTTCCACCATCTTGACTTGGATTCGGGGCAGAAGCTTTTGCCTGAGGTGAAGAGGCAGGATTGAAACTTCGCAGGTGACTTCTGAGACAGACAAGTGTGAATGGAACAGGTCCAAAGGATGTTAAGGCCTGCTTCCCATGAGAAGAAATGAGAGCACCAGGAACAAGAACTCGGTCAATATCAATGAGAGCCTTTGTTGAAGTGATGTTGACCCTGTCGTAGACTCGGCTATTGTCAGAGGAGATTCGACCTTCTGCAACAACTGTGGTGTTGTCAGAGTTGAATAACAGAACAGATGTTCCAGGTATAAGGGTGGATGGGAGTCGACGAGGAATATCAAACTGTTGGAGATGTTCGTAAATGAGAAGTGATGCATACGCTTCACGAGCAGCATAGTCAAGTTGTGCTCGGGTTAATGATTTGTCTTCCCAAGCTTGACTAACGCACCTCGGGCCTGGCGCTTCTTAAGCGCTAGGGGGCCTCAGAGGCCAATTTTTTGTCTGGGGGTAATTGGCCTCTGAGGGGGGTAATCCTGTCACTTCGCACGCAATGCCCACGCTGTCGTTCCAAAAATAGCTCTGGCTGATGGTTGCCGGTGTCCGGACACACGCTGCACATGAGCGCTTGCACTCGCTTCCAGCGACGAACCCCTTCCGATGACGAACGACCTCCACCCCTTCAGTGACATATTGCCCACCAACCACTTTCTCCGCCTACGTCTCTTGCAAAGCATCCTACATCAACAAACAGCGAGCATTGAACGTTGAGCACTGAGCACTCAGAGTCAGAGCGCTCGCTTTCTACTACGGCGACTAGCTAGCGACGAACCCGACAACGAACGACCTCCACCCTAGTAACATGTTTGCGCACCAACCACACACCCCGCCTACTCTCCTTGCGCAGCATTCTCTGTCACCAAACAGGGATTCACGCCGCTGCTAACATCCAGATATCACTGCGAAATGGCTCGACACATCATACATTAAACAACGGTGCGGTGTTATGGCTGCTGTGGAAGGGGTTATGGGAGACGGTTGACTTTGTGCCATCCAGATAGGTATGTCTATTATAATTCAACCTCCTGGGTGACCGGACTTCAGGAGGCCAATGCGCAGGACATTCACACATGGACAGTTGAACCTTTCGACGTTTGAGATATTCCTCAACCCTGTCGTCTATCTCTGCGCTTATATTGGTATCACGGTTCGAGTGCTTTCACCAACCGAGTCCCGATTACGGCCGCTGCTGAGACCTTGATGCGTCGCGCATTCATCAAATCTCTTTATCACGACGCTCGTCCTCCTACCCAAACATTTACTCTGAAGAGAAAGAACTCATTGCCAGGTTTTCAGCGATAGGAAAGAATGGAAGAAACAGGTGGATAGTGATCTGCGAGTGAGTACTGTTTGCACTTATATTTCCGTCTTTTTTTGATGATCCCTTGTTCCCAAGACATACGACGTTCGCCCCCTTCTATTCGGTGAGTTTCAGTTCTCTCCTCTGTTTGGAATGTATTCCGACCATAATATATTCGAGCTAGGCATTGAGGTGCTTCCCGATTCTTATTTCTCAAATTCTATCAACATGTCAATCCCTGCCGACATCCTATCCCTCTCTGTCGGTCAGGTACTACATTTTATTTGAGTGTAGGTTACATTATCAGGGAATCTTATCATATTGTTTCTTGTAATACACGTATTTTATCCTTGCTGCCAATTCGCCGTAGAATAAAAAAATGACAAGATTCTGATGTGGAGACTGCAACATATGAAAAACAACATTGGAGGCACTTGTTCATATCCTACGGCAGCCATGCATTCATAGAAATATAGTATTACTCTTTTGTACTTGAATTGGCTTGGCATAGGACGAAATTCATGGGGAGGGAGCTATTGTAGGCCGTAAATGCTGCTACAATCCTTAAGATGATAATCTTTGCCAATCTTTGATGTAGCATATGCCGTCTGACCTTTACTCCAAAAAAATATAATTTGAGGCTCGCTTCTACCTCCCTCCTCAATACTAGCTCGATAAAACTGTTCTTCATGCACCGGGCTATGCGACGGCCGATATCAATATTATTTCTATAAGGGTTGAAGCAGATAGCCTAGAGGTAAAGTAAATTTCACGGCACTGTTTCGGTAAACAGCTAAACAGTGTCCTTTCCCCACGCATCAGTTTTGAGTACATGTTATTGTAGAAATTGTTGTATAGTACCTGGTGGTATGTCCCTCAGAAAATAAAAGTCACAGGTGCTCGTCAAGAAACAATTTAAATGCGAAAAAATGCGGTGATTAACTCAGGGGGGCTTCATTGAAACTCCAACGATAATTCACGGCTTAAGAACCTCGCCAAGCTATTTTGCTCTTCCCAACTAAACCAGTCATGAATGATAGCAGTGCTTGGGTGTATGTGTTAATCTATTCTGGCTGTCTGCAAATGAGAGCGGTCCCAGGAAATAAACCATCCATTGAGCAGAATTTGTTGTTCGGATGTTTAAATGCAAGCTAATATGCAACTAATATGCCTATGAGCTACACGTCATTTCTCAGCTGTATTCAATATGTCATAGAATGCACCAATATGAAGTTCTAATTTCCTGTTGAAAGGCAGGTAGCGGCACATTTTCAGAGCATCAGAATAGTCTAAGAGCAACTGTTATACTATTTCAAGGACACCATATGGTCAAATAATCTATGGACAAACAGCGTGATATGTGGTGGAGTGACTAACATGTTTTTCTAATTTTATGAACAATGTTTTTGTTTTGTGTTTGTTTTTCAAGCCTGCTTAAGGTGGGTGAACGTCCGAGTCGTGGCCCATGAAACAGTCAGCCCCAAACCTGGAGATGCAGGCGCCGCCGTTTAAAGCAGAGCCACAGCTGCAAAATGCAAGCAGTAGCCATTATTGTATGGGAGCGGCAGGGAGGATGTCGCGCTCCTGCCGGCCCCGCAAAGAGGCTTCCAACTCTGCACTTTTGGCATAAATTTTTATCCTCTATGATCTGTATCCTGAGTGAATGTATAATAAAGAAGGTTTCGGGATTTGATAGAGTGCCCATATTCTGAGAAAGCTATGAGGAGGCCTAAATGCCGGCAATGGATAGGGGGCTAGCGGTGCAGCCACCGCGCGCTGTCACCTTGACGCTCCAGCTATTTTTAGATGTCAAAAGAAGCTTGCTTGATTTGGATTTGCACGCCAGTGATAGAGTGACCATACCCCTCAGAGGCCAATTGCTACCATCAATAGAATCGGCCTCTGAGGCCTTCTGTCGCTCAGAAGCGTCAGGCCTGAGGTGGACTAACGCGTTCTGGAACATTTTTGTTGAGCCGTTTTGCCAAAGTGATAGCACATAGATCAGCTAAGCTGCATTGCGCATTGGTGATAACTCGTCGATCCTTTGCATATTTTGCGAGGTCAAGTCCGCCCACAAATGGGTTTGGCGATTTACAGGCTGTTTGCAAATATTTCAAATCACTATTCACAAGACGGCCAGATTTGATAACACGGGGATGGGAGAGGAGGAGCCTGAGCTGCTGTGGGAGTTCGTTATTGGCCAGCATATCAGCAACCTTTTTGAGAAAATAATGAGACAACAATTAGAATAGAGGAGACATGATATAATACCTGAAGAATATAAATACGGCTTTTATATGCAATTTGGATGATGGCTGTTCTTCCTCGACGCGTGACTTTTCCTTGTGGTGAAACCTCAACGTTCCATTCTGAATCAAATCCTATTATTATTGACCCTTCGTCTTCAGGAATATCATCAAGAATGGTGCGCATTGCATCGTTAATCGCCTCCGAAGTATTTTTGATGAGGATTGGGACACCAGAAGGTACAACGAGCTCCTCCAAATGCCCATATTTTTCAACAGGCGTCACACCTTCACGAAGGGAAGGGAAACAGTCTTCAAGAAACTTCTTATCAGAAATATTGTCGGCGTAAATGAGAGATGGCTGCGGATGGCCGTAGAGATCAAGCGAGTCATGCACATTTCGTAGAGCCAACTCATATTGAGAGTGGGACTTGGTCGCAACAAAATTACAGGCGCGAATTTCATTCTTTTCGTTTGTGAGACTTAGTATCGCAGTAAAGGGTTGTTCACCCCCAACCCTCATCGTTTGTTTCGCAATCTGAGGACGAAAAATGAATTTGAACTCATAAATAATTTTAATTCAAATACCTTATGACTGTGATCAATGGCGCAGATATTAGCACTGAGCATCGCCGTGTGTTGATTGATTTCAGGACGGTGTTCATCAATGAAATCATCATAGAGGTCACGTAATAGAGCTGCTGATGGTGTATAAAGATNGTGGGCCAAGCGGGCCAAGATCATCGAATCGCGGAAATGCTTCATACTTTAACTGAAACCAGTCATCCAATGTGCGACTA